GAACGCCTAGTGCCTAATCCAGTGTCTGGAACTGAGTGGGCCCTTGCTACCTCTGGGCTGGATGAGTGAATGAATAAAGGAACGAATCAAAGGATGTGGAAACTTCTCGCATGCAGGAGACGGGCCCACCGTGATTCCTCGATTGCTGGCTAGATTAGTTGGGTAGATGTTAGTGCCTTCCATGATCAATGACAGGTTTGTTTTCAACAAAATATTCTCATGTAGTGATTTTGCAGATGGTCGTTGTCTTTTCTGCTAAAATAGAATGGCTATCTGATATGTCCAAATCCTCCAACACGCCGGGGACCCCCACTCTCCCCAGGCTCTGACCGTGTAATGCTAATGGTTAGTCGGCCACTCAGGGGGGACCCCGTGAGGTAGGGGAGCCTCAGAGTGCCCCCTCCAAAGATCCTGGCTCTCCTTTCTGTGGTTCTTCTTCAGAGTGATTTGAACGACACTGGAAATGCCCCATCTATAATGAATAGAATTTAATAATTGAGCAGTAGCTACGTAACTGTGTCTGAAAGTTGAGCTCTGCTTTCCTTTCCAAGATCTCTGGCCCATCTCCGGCTGCCTTCTCTCTGTTCAGCTGAGATGATGAAAAGGTAAAAGGATGCCAAAAACTGGAAAGCATCAAATGTCAGCCACGGAAGCAAATACCCAGAGGGTGACGGTCACGCTGATCTCCAGAAACTGAGCACATCCCAATCGAGATGCTCCAAGTCCTAGCAGCTCGTTAAACGGGACGGGCGGCAAAACCCTCGTCGTGAAGTTCCTGACACGAGCCCCACTCGGTTACTTATTTTGTTCCTTTTCCCTTTAAGAGGTTGCAAGCCCGTTTTCAACTGGGTTCTAAAGATGTGATTAGGGGCATTACCTTCTCAGACTTATCTGGTTCTGCTATTGTCAGGGGCAAAGTGCCTTCAAAGATGTGACAGAGCAGTGTAGACACTGGGGCAGTTCCACTGAGAAAGTATTCTACTCTGGACAGGACTGTTTTCCTACGCAGTCGTTTCTCCTTATCCGCGGTTTTGCTTTCCACGGTTTCAGCTGCCCGCGGTCAAGCTGGATCCGGAAGCAGGTGATCCTCCTTCTGACAGATGATCAGAAACTCAGTAGGAGCCTAACGCCGCCTCCCAACGCTTACGCCATTCGCCTCACGTCACGTCACGTCACCACATAGGCATCGTAGCGTCTCACGTCATCACAAGAGCGGTGAGTACAGTACAATATTTTGAGATCCCCTTCCTATAACTTTTATTACAATATACGTTGCAGCGGTTCTGTTTCTTGCTGTGGTTGTTAACCTCTTACTGCGCCTAATTTATAAATTAAACTTTGTCACAGGTGTGTACGTGTAGGAACAAGCACGGTCTGCACAGGGTCTGGTACTACCTGCGGTTCTGGGCATCCACGGCGGGTCTTGGAAAGTACCCCCCTTGGAGAAGGCGGGGACGGCTGTGCCGTAGTAGTGTCCTTCGAAATCACAGTTCAGGCTGGTGTTCCACACGTCCTGTCTGCAAATTCCCCAGCCTTGGATAAAAATCAGATAGGGGTCTTGGCGCCATGAGACCTGCAAACTTCATGTTAACTCGATCTGGGAAACTTTGTCCTAATTAGGTCTAATCTCTGTCATCCTATCAACATCAAGTCAGAAAACATACACCTGGGCCACAGCCTTCGGCCCTACGGTCAGCACTGGGTAGAGGCTGAACAAGCATCTGTCAGGCAAATGAATAAATGAAGGGAGGAATGATTTGGGTTCTCCCAAGACTCCAGGCCGTTGAGCGGAGACAGAATAGGTTTTGGCATCAGCCAGAGTAGGGTGTTGAATCCTAGTTTTGCTGCTGGCTGTGCGCGCTCCGCGGTGAGAAGGGAGGCAGCCCAGGGAAGGTGGCTGTATTCATTTCTCATTACCGTAAATTACCACACATAGTGGCTCCAGAAAAACAGATTTATTCTATTTCTTTCTGGAGATCAGAAATCCAAAATGGATTTCACTCGGCTAAAATCAAAGCGTTCCTTCTGGAAGCTCCAGGGGAAGAACGCATCTCCCTATCTTTCCAGCCATCTAGAGACTGCCCACATGCCTGGGCTTGTGGTCTCTTCCTCCATCAGCAAAGTCAGCAGTGTAGCCTCTTTAAATCTCTTTCTGGCTCTTCCACCTCCCTTTTCTATCCATAAGGACCCTTGTGGTGACATGGGGGGCCACCTGGACAATCCAGGATCTTCTGTCCATCTCAAGGTCCTTACCTTAATCACATTTGCAAAATTCCTTGGCCATGTAAGGTTAAGTACTCACTTTAGGGATTAGAGCACAGATCGTCTGCGGGAGGTCACTCTCCTGTTACCACAGCAAACATGAGCCAGAGGCTGCGCTTACCAGATTTGCCCCACAGTGGTGAGAAGCGCCCCCATTCCTCCCCAGGATGCTACAGATAACACATAAAATGTATTCCCTAGGGAGCCCCCCCCTCCCAACCATGAGAATAGTGGCCGGTTGTGTTATTGGGAGGAACCTAGCTCTGCCTGGGCGTGTCTCGCTGGTCTTTCCCTGGCGGGGCAATGGAATGGTCTGGGCTCTTCCGAGGACTCCTTTTTGTTGTTGTCGTTGTTGTTGTTTGGAGGGAGAAAGAGAGAGAGCATGAGCAGGGAGGAGGAGCAGAGAGAAATAGAGAGAGAATCCCAAGCAGGTTCCATGTTCACTATGGAGCATGGTGCGGGGCTCGATCCCACCAACCCTGGGATCTTGACCTGAGCTGAAATCAAGAGTCAGATGCTCAACTGACTGAGCCACCCAGGCACCCCCGCCCTAGGACTCTTTTGGTTTTTGTCAGAGAGTGTCAACTCCACACAGCTTGGTTGAATGTTCATACACATGGATGTGCACTTCGTCAAAAGTCTTTCCTTTAACGGTCACCTTGAACTCAATGCTCCACCCCACCGATCAAATCTTGGTTGGGAGAAATACCATTCAAGGAGACCCACTCGCCTGAGAGATGGGCCGCCCAATGACACCTTTGAACTCTTCCGTAGGTTAAGCCAGACTACATCCTTTTGGCCCCGAGGTATCTGCTTTCACTAAATTTTGCTTTATTTTGGTGCCACTAGATGACATTAGGGGTACACCATAAGAAAAGCCATCACAGAAATAGCTGCACGTATTACACCAGTATTGTTGAGGGCAGTTGATTGCGTATTGCATACATTTCTTATGAGAAACCGCAGAGAAATATTTCCCTGGTCTCAAAACCCAGTACTGGGTATGGTTTCCCCTAGTAACTGGTTTGTTTCCTTCAAATGAACACTAGCTTGCGTGGCTGGTTGTTCTTCCCTCTTTGTGCTCACTATTAGGAAGGAAAAGTATGCAGCAAAGCTTTAGGATGTCAGAGCCTGCATTATGGGCACGGACTTCTCTTCCTACCTCCTCGTCCCTTCCCCCGGTTTGCCTTCACATGTTTCACTCTTTGGATCTTTACCGTGACAGTGTCTAGAAGCCCTGAATAAAGCATGACAAGAACTTTTGTTATTTCCCAAGGTTTTCTTCCCTTTTGTGAGACAGACACGTGCCCCCGATGCACACCTCTTTGTTCCAGGAACAAACTCAAAATGAAAAAAAAAAAAAATACATCAGAAAGAAAACATCATCAGTGCCAATGTTTAAACACTGGCTCTCGGCAGAACGGGGTCCGGCACCACTGTAAAGAGGGGAGCTTCTGTTGTTAATGTGAAAACCAGTCTCTGGCACTTGGTATGCTGAGCACACGGAGATCATAAATGCCAGCATTCTAAATGGCTTGCTTGCTGTTAGTAGATTCACTGGCACTGAAATCCATTTCTTTTCTAAGGATGTTTAGCTTTTATTATATCTTTACTCATGGTCAAAAGACATCAGCAAATTTGCTAAGGTGATTGAAGATATTCCTTAAGTTTCACGACTTTGCCTTCACGTTTTTGTACGTGAGTTCATCTTCTTGGAGAGCAAAACAGAAATGCGCTTTATACTGCATAAGGCTTTGATAGTTGTAGAAAGCCCAGATAAAGAAAGAATGAATGTTAGCGGAACCTCCACGGAAAACATCTTTATGGATAGACCCAAGCGTATGAATTCATTTCTGAGCTCATCAAACCACAAAATCACCAATACTGAGAGCAAACCCTACTCAAGGGTGTATCAGGACCTTCTCTTTTTAATCTCCAACCCATAGAATCCATAACATAGAATGTATTCAATAAACACTTGTTGAATTAATGAGTTATACCTCTCGTGCTCAGAAAGACTAGAGCTCTACTCTGACTCCAGTAGACCGTGATGGGAACACAGTGCTTACCACGTGGCAGGCGTGTAACACGGACTGAGTGCCTGGGGCTGAGACACATCCAAACCATGGAAGAAATTTCTGCCATCCCTGAGCTCTAAGGCAGCAACTTTGTATTTCCATTATTTCTCCCCTTACCAAAGCCACAGCTGACAGGTGATATTAGCAGGTTCACCTACTCGCACAGACATTCTTAGGTTTATGTGTAATGCCCAGCGTGCTAATACAATCTCCATCCACCTCTCCCACTCAAGAAAATAGATCAGAACACAAATGAATAAGGATGTCATTAATATGGGAACAACCCAGAATCCATGGCAACTTACTGAAGAAGTAAATCATCCACCATTTTGGTGTTTCGGATCATACCAGTAGTACATGACTTATAAGCCGTTGTACAATGATCGACATAATAGTCCATTGTGACACCAAGACTGAAACCATCCCTGAGACCCACTGAGTCCTAACATGCCATCTCGGAGACTTTTCAAACTCCAGAGGCTCATTCTACCCCCAGCGCAATCATCTATATGAGCCATGCATATGTGCTTCATCCAGAACCACAGAGATCATCCCTACTGATGGACAATAGCTCACATAAGAACCTCACTGTCAACTGGGTATCAGTCCACCTTCACCATAATGATACTGAGGAAGAGGACGCACAACCAACCAACTTACCACACCACCGCCAGCTGAGTGCACCAGCACGGACATTCCTTCTCGGAGGTTGGCAACTTCGAAGAGCATCATATAGGCTGTGACGAAGTTCATGGGGAATGCGGCAGCCTCTGAGAAGCTCATGTCATCTGGGATCTTGTAGACAAATTCCACTGGCGTGCAGACCACCTCTGCCCAGGCATTGTAATTGACAAATGCCATGACACGGTCCCCGATCTGGGCACGAGGAAGCACATGGTTAATGGAAGCTTCCTACTCTTTCCTGAAAGATTTCTCAAATACTCTTAAGAACCTGATGAAAACTATAGATTCCTTCCCAAAAAGAAAGCCCAAACCCTCAAACATGCACACCCTCACCGGCCTCCCAATTCCAAGGCATTTGCGGATGCTCTGAAGCCCATCTATGAAAACTTGCCAGGAGTCATAGAAGCCAGGTTCTCCATCTGCCTTCTGAAGCTTTCCTATACAATGTCACCACATCACACACCGTGGAATACTGGTGTCAGAATCTCATTTGACCAACTCAGCCTCTCGTCCTATCTCTGTTTTGGAGTGGAGGAAAACTAAGCCATAAGGCAGTTTACACAGGCGGGGCTAGGTTATCTCCTCTCATCTGTTTTCTGCCACTCCACATGGACTCCCTGCCAGGCTAGTGCATTGGGATATTTGCATCAAAGCCTAGCACCGGATTACCGATCACAGTAGAGGTAAAACGTGGTGGATCAGAAGAAGCCATGGAAACCTAAGTGCAGGAGACTGAACAGCCAAACTTACAGCAAACTAGGGAGATGCCGCCAAGTATGAAGAATAACCTTTTTTGGACATGTGTTATATGTCAGGTGTTATCCTAGGGGTGTCACATGTGTTTTTTGGTTTTGGGGTTTTTTTTTTAAATTTTTTTTAATGTTTTTTTTTTGTTTGTTTGTTTTTTTGAGAGAGAGAGAGACAGAGTGTGAACAGGGGAGGGGCAGAGAGAGAGGGAGACACAGACTCTGAAGCAGGCTCCAGGCTCTGAGCTGTCAGCACAGAGCCCGACACGGGGCTCGAACCCACGAACCGTGAGATCATGACCTGAGTCGAAGTCAGACGGTTAACTGACCGAGCCACCCAGGCGCCCCGGATGTCACATGTCTTAACTCGTCTGATCTTTACAAACCGCTATGAAGGCATGGCTGAATGCATGTTCTTTTCACCAGTTTTTTACATAGCCAGACATCATGCAAAAAAAAAAAAAAAAAAAAAAAAAAAAAAACTGGGGGGAGTGGCATTCTTCCCTTTAAAGTCGTTCAGGTGATATGGTAAGCTTTTTCATAGTATATCATTATTAAAGGGAAATACAACTAAGTGAACTGACATTGATGACTTGTATGAACTGCTCAGTGCTGGTTAAGCTGACCCACTCTGCTCTTTGGTGTTAGTTGCTTGTAGTCTATGACTTTCAAATGCAGTATTCAAATTGCTGTGGTCATAGCGAATTTTCAATCAATGAATGGCTTTCATACACATGTGCTTTAGTTTCATATATTTACAATTGAGCCTCCTGTTTTGTTTTCTCTTAGCTTAGCATTTCTCTTCATCCCCTCCTCAACAAACAACAACAAAAGCCTCCTATGAGATGGGCGTGTAAGAGCTCGCATTGCAGATGAAGGATTATAGATTTTACAGACATTTATATTGAGGCCAAGAGACATGAAAGCACCTGCCCAAGGTCAAGTAGCTAGGGAGTAGCTGAGCCAGGAGTTGAGTCTACCAAGGCTGACTCTAGATACGAATGATTAATTCATCACACCTGAGGTACATGCTACAGAGACCTATTTTTCTAAAGGTGTCTACCAAAGAACCTACCACTTTTGGGAATATTGGTGTAACTCTTTAAGTCTCCGTTTCTTCAGCTGTAAAATGAGTATGATGTAAGGAAAGGGTCCTCACAGAGACGAAATAACAAAACACACAGGCCGTACTCTTGGCACGGGGCATGTAAAGCGAGGAGAGAACAATCACAGTTGACTCTTTGAGAGAACAGATGGGTTCCTGGCCTCATGGAACTCCCAGCTCAATGATCGCACACTGAATACAGACCTATTTCACGAAGTAGAAGGAATGGCTGTCTAACGAAAGAACTGGCGGAAAGGAAAGGCTATTCCATGGCAGTGAGTGTCCCAATCCCTGGAAGGGTTGAAGGCCAAATGGTGATTGTTGAGAGTTACCATCTTACATGCAACCGCTTGGGCCAGAGGATAACCAAGGTCTAACACTGGCATTCTCTTTTGCACTGAATCATGCAAACCGAAGATCCAAAAATACCATGGAGTAGCTGATGACCCCCAGTGTCCACACAGAGGACAATGAAGAGTAGTTTAACCACCTTGACAGGGCTGATCACACTGTCACAGGGCTGACTGCTCCAGTCTCTTATTCAGCTTTGCTCCATGAAAATGGCAAGAGTGGCTTAGCCATCACATCAGCCCTAGCCTGAGTCCAGAGGTAGGCAGCTCTTTTGTTGTTTTCTGTTTTAAATATCCAGTTGACCTCATTATTTGATTTTGTTAATAAAAAGAAGTTCGTCCTGGGCGGTTGAGCCCAAATTATTCCTTTACCACCGTACCTCTGGAGACAACTTTTCAAGCCTCCCTTGCAATGGATCAAACCAACAGAGCTATTCAGTGTGTGGTTTCATGAAATCCCATCTCCAACATGATTGACAAAACTAAATCAGAATTCCAGGGGGAAAATTAGTACTGGCTTTCCCCCAAGCCACACCCTGACTGGAAACCTGTAGGTGGCTTCTTTCATTTGTTTGTCCAGCTGGAAGACACTGGAGGGAAGCGGCGGTGAGGGGTAGGGTGCTGCCACTGGTTATATTGCTTACCTGGGGACCGAAAATGCAAAGCCATATGAAAGAAAGGAAAAAGTGCATTTACTTCTTTCTTAACACTTTTCTGCTCGATTATCTGGAAACCAGTGGCAAAATGATGAGTGGGATGAGACTTTCAGACATTCGTCACAATGAATTTGGAGCATACTAATACTCGCAGAGTATATTTGAGACTGAGCAGCAGTCTCAAATTCAATGCCAAGGGCTTTTTGGCATTCCATTTATAGGATTTTCCTTCCTGCATTTAGCCCTGCAGCATTTGCAGGTTGGGAGCAGGGGCGAAGAACATGGGATTAAAGAAGAGTCAGTTCCAGATTCAACTACCTTCGTGTTGACCTCACAGGAAACAACTGCACCCTTCTGAACTTCATCTCCAAAGGGACAATAGCAGTATTTACCTCGCAGCATTGTGGTAAGGCTGAAAAAGAATGATTTGCCCATGTTTCTGGTTATGCCGGGTTCTCACATGTTAGCTCTGTTCGTTTCTCCCTGGGGAAGCCCTTAAGTTATGAGCGAGAGCTCTTGTATCTGATTGGCATTGGTTTTCCTCACTCCAAACGGCTGCGGTTTTGTGCAATTGATTTGCCCACAGTTTTTCAGTCATTAGAGACCGGATTCTGTTTGATTTGCATTACCGTGGTAGCAAGGGTCATATGTCTTTTCATCGATTAAAAATTTTTTATTATAGAGAATTGTAAACACTTACAAAATAGTCAGAAAAATATAACCCTTTTTATCCGTTGCCCTATTTCCAACGCTATCAACCCACGGCCAATTCTGCTTCGTTGACAGGTACTTCTACTCTTTGCCTTTAAAATCATCGTTTAAAAGTGTCACCTCCCCAGTGTCTGAAATAATGGTTTATAAAAGATTACTTAAATGCATCAGTTAAGTAGATACCTAAGGGAACCAAATTATGAAATACAGAGGCTATTTCTCCCTAGCTGCTATGTTGTGTCGTCGATTTTTGCACCTGAGGTACGGGGGAGATGGGAGCCATGTGCAGGGTGAGGGAGTATGCCCACCTGGTTGACCCGAGGCGACACGGTCTTGTTCAGCTGTATTACATGAAGAAAAGGGAAACTTTCTTTTCCTGGGCCACTTCCCAGACTGTTCCCAGGAGCAACCAAGATGGTGCATGAGAAATGCACAGGGTATGTGGAAAATCTATTATTTATAAACACTGTTAAAAAAAAAAAAAAACCCTAACAATAAGACAACAGTCCTAACACACACATGTTCTCGCAAACATTTTTTGCCTCATCTTTTCTGATCGCAACAGATTCCAGATAGGTATTACTTCTTCCGTCATCAGCCAAAACATTACCTCGTATCCTTTCACGCTGTCCCCCAGAGCTTCCACGATCCCAGAACACTCAAATCCTGGCACCAGGGGAGTCTTAGGAGGGTTATCGATGTTCCCTTGTCGTACCATCAAGTCAATGAAGTTTAATCCACTGTGAACGACAAATTGGAAAAGAGAGACATTCAAAATGAGAGCCAAGAGAACACCATGACCTGACTTTTCTTCCGTTCCCTTCTCGTCCCTCCTTCCCTTGCCCCATTCCTCCCTGCTTTCTTTTTTTTTTCTTTTTCCTTCCTGGCAAAATATGCCTAATAGTAAGTCATTTGGCTGGACCTCACTAATAAAGCAAAACAGTTATCTCTCTAGATAAGGGATGCTTTCCTGGCAGTTAAAATAGCCATCGCAGAGGTGGCCTTCCAGTTCAAAAGACCGCCCCTTTGTCCCCTCAGAGCCTGCTTAATCTAACAACATGTACTAAATAGCCCAGTCATTAGCCATGCTAACACTTTGTCAAGGGTAAAGAATATACTAGGAAGAAGTGATAAGAAGACACAGGGAAAGCAGCCAGACATAATGGCCATCAGCCAATCTACTAAGAATCAGAGAGAAAAAAGACCAATTTAAAAGGTATTGGAACAACTGTCACACATCAGTCATCACAGAAACTCCTAGCAGCACTGTGCCATATACAGCGCCCATAATGGCGAATAGGAACGACGCAGAGACTACATTATGTCTAACGGGGGGGGGGGGGACGGTAACTAGAAGAAGTGAGATCAAACGGATAGACCAATGGATATGGTAATACTGAAGAGACTGTTTCAAAAATCTTAGTTCTCTCTGGATGAGAAAAGTGGTTAGTCGTTTCTATTAACATATTACTTTTGAAATAGGAAAGTTATCATTAAGATATATTAAACCACCTCCTTGGAAAACCATATACTTGATTTTCGTGAGAATAATGCCAATGCTCCAAACTGCTGTCTTTTTTGAGAGCTACTCTTGGAAAGTGCATTGAATACTCATTAACTAATCAAATGAGAAAACACATCCCACTGAAAGTGTTTTTTTTTTTTTTCTACCGGATGTTCTAATGTACTTCCTGTTTTCATAAGCCACCATCTTAAGAAAGTCTGGGGTTATAGAAACCAGACTCTTCCATGTGGCCCATTAGCATCTGGCCACAGCTTCTTTTCCAAGCAAGACTGCTCGAACTACTTTTAAAACACAGCTTGTCCATTCCTCTCTCCACCTCTATGGAGCCAAGGAAACATCAAATTGTACCTATGGCTCCTGGCCTCCACTCCTCAGTCCCATCCACAGAGAATGGATAATGGCGAAGAGGGTGACTTCCTTGAAAGGTGGGCTCAAAAGGAGCCACTTTCCCAAGGTTTTGCTGCTCACACATCAGGCACGTTTCACAACTGCCCCGGCTGAAGTATCACTGATGTGTGTCCCCCTTGAAGGCAGCTGCATGCCTCGTATTTCTTTGCTTCCAGAGTGCCAGGCATGCACCAGGCCCACAGCAACATAGCAGGTGCTCAAGAAAATCTGCTGAATGGAGGAATACCTGTGAGTATTCAAAAACAGGTGCTGCCAGATTGAGTACTAACTCCAAACTGGTGCAGCCACTCTGGAAAACCGTATGGGGGTTCCTCACAAAATTCAAAAGAGAACTACCCTCCGGCCGAGCAATTGCACTACTTAGGAATTCATCCAAAGGATACAAAAATGCCTATCTGAAGGGACACACGCACCCCAATGTCTATAGCAGCGCTATCCACAATAGCCAAATTACGGAAAGAGTCCAAATGACCATCGGCTGATGAATAAATAAGGAAGGTGTGGTATATATGATGGAACATTACTCAGCGATCAGGAAGAATGAAATCTTGCCATTTGCAACAACAACGTGGGTGGAACTGGAAGGTATTATGCTAAGCAAAATAAGTGAGAGAAAGAGAGATACTGTGATTTCATTCATATGTGGAATTTGAGACACACAACAGATGAACATAGGGGAAGGGAAGGAAAATAAGATAAAAACAGAGAGAGGGCAAACCATAAGAGACTCTTAAATACAGAGAACAAGCTGAGGGTTGCTGGAGGGGAGGTGGGTGGGGCATATGTGTTAAATGGGTGATGGGCGTTAAGGAGGGCACTTTTGGGGACGAGCACTGGGTATCATATGTTAGTGATGAATCACTGGGTTCTACTACCGAAGCCAAGACTATACTGTATGTGAAATAGCTTGAATTTAAATTAAAAAAAAAAAAAAAGTGTCCAAGGGATGCTCAGAGTAACAGACACATTTCTGAAATGTGCATGGAGACTCCCAAAGATCTACTTTAATGGTTAACAGCTCTGAGGGTCATTGATTAACCAAATTGTTCTCCAGTAGCATGGCCACTTTCTGAAGAGCTTGGAGAGGCCCTGGGCACAATTTCCAATGCCATCACTTCTCCCTCTGTAACCTTGGACAAGTTCCTCAGCCTCTGTAAGCCTCCATTTCTTCGTCGGTAAAGTGGAGGCTTATGATAGTACCTGTCTCGCAGGGGTGTCGGGAAAATTAATGACAGTTAAACACCTAAGCATAATGCCAGGTACGGAGTAAGTTTCAATAAGTGCTGGCATTTAAATTTGTATCTTAAGAAGGCGCAGTACGTGACACGTTTTAGGAAGACTCCCACGAAATAAGGGTTAAAGATAGTTTCAGAGCTGCGATGGGCAAACCTCTGCTATCCGTGAACTTCACTTCTGCGAAACAGCCCATCTTCCAACAAAACCAAATAAATAAAGCATCGCTGTGTAACAATAAAAGGCGTTTCTACGTCCCAAATCAAGCACTTCATCTCGGTTCATGCATATTTTAGCTCACTGTATTTTCCTCTTTGTGAATACCTCTGGTTTCCCAAGACCCTGATGGAGAAATGCCAGAAGAAATTCCTTAACAGTTCTGTACACATGCTAGTCCCCTGGAGAAGGTTTCATCCTAGACGCTTGTTATGCTCTTAAATCGGGCTGCCTTCAACCCCCATCCAGCACGAAGTGGGCACACTGATTCCAAACTGAGAGCCAGCTACTCAACTCCAGTGAGAAGGGCGAAGTAAGCCTGACTTAGCCACCCGTCTTCAGGAAAGGAACGTGAAGTGGGTATATATCCCAGGGGACGGGGAACGGGTCAGTGTTTATCTCCACACAAAGAGGTGGTGAACAGTTGTTAATGGAGTACCTTGACACGTCGTACCAAACCCGTTTCAAGGTCCCTGCCCACGCACCTGCTCCTGGTATGGATAAAGCTCGCATTTACTGAGGGTTCAATTTGTGGCAGGAACTGTGCTAAGTGCTTTACTTTTGTTATTTAAGACTCAGCAGTACTCCTAGGAAGTATGAACTGTCACATCTGTTTTTCAGCTGAGAAAACCGAGGCTAAGCAAGATTAAGTAACGCCACATCTTTAGAAACCGTCAAAATCAGGCTTTGTATGCGAGCCACGTCTAGAACTTGAGCCCTGACATACAACGCCGTGTTGCCCATTTCTGGGAACTTCACTCACCACCCTTGCTAAAGCGACACATCCAAGGGGCCACGATTATAACTTCTTCTCTCTCTGACAGCTGATTGCAGCACTGGTGGGCCCCGTGTCGGAGGAGTGGCCATTCCCGACCTAAGCAGGAATCCATCTCTTCGTCTGAAATAAATAAGCTGATCTAAGAATTGGGTGTTCTCTCAAAAACTCTGAATTGCAACATACGCACCAAGAAAACAACTCATCATCATCAAGGACACGGAAAGATAAAACTAGGGACCTAGTGACCTGTGCTCCGGGGAAGCGTAAGTTAAAAAAGCCAGTAGGTAGGGAAATGAAAAGAGAAAAGCAGAGGAAGCAACTCAACGACCTGTCCCAGGGTGCGCTCACAGATGCCATCGCCAAGTTGCCGAGAACGCCAAGTGCTTGGTGAAGCCCAGGCCCAGCACGCCTCCTACCCCCTGATTGTCAAGAATTCCTTTGCTACTCCACACCTGTCTTTAGAACCTCTTTGTTTGAGTTATGTGTGTGGTCACTGTCTCATGAAACCAAAAGATACACACAAAAACAAACACCACAATCAATAACCCTAAGTCATCCACTGGACAGACATTACTGACCTCATGTTTTAAAAATATTTTATTTATTTTGAGAGAGGGAGAGGGAAAGAGTACGAGCGGGGGAGGGGCAGACAGCACAGAGCCTGATGTGGGGATCGATCTGATGAATCGTGAAATTGTGACCAGAGAGAAATCAAGAGTTGGACGCTTAACCACCCGAGCCACTCAGGGGCCCGCCCCAGCCTCATTTTGGTTTTTTTTTTTAGAAAATACCTGTAACATCGTGTAGAGATAATATTATTTGCCCAAGGCCTTGCACACAGTGAAGAGTAAAGCCACGGGCTTAAACCGGAGTCTAACACTTCTTTTTCCAAGCAATATGCCTTCTTAATTATAGTTTCTAGTATTCTCTAAGATAACCTGATTTTCACTTGGAAATTGTTTTTGGGATGGCAATCACTGTTTTCATGACCCGGGCTCACACAGTGGGTAACCTTCAGACATCTCTCTTACCTAATACTTATATGGCTCTTGCACATTTAAGATTATTGCAAAAAAAAAAAAAAAAAAAAAAAAGTGTCGGCAAGTGCTTCACATAATGTTCTGCTAGGTAGTCGTATTTTTCTCAAAGATTAGTATAATTTAAATAAATAAGGCCTTAATTTTTTCCTCTCATACTGTTACTCAGAGCCTGTGTTTACAGGGTTATTATTGAGGCGCACCTGGGTGGCTCAGTCACGTAAGCATCCAACTCTTGATTTTGGCTCAGGCCAATGATCTCACAGTTTGTGAGATCGAGCCCCACCTCGGGCTCTGTGCTGACAGCTCAGAGCCTGCTTGGGATTCTCTCTCTCCTTCTCTCTCTCCCCCTCCCCCCCCCACACATGTACTCACACACACACACTCTCTCTCTCTCTCTCTCTCAAAATAAATAATTTTTTTTTAAATATTACTTCATTACATCCACACAGCACGGCGCCTTCACACACATCTCATTAAACCTCGTAACGATCCCAGAAAGGCAAGATGTACAGATGTTATTATTCCCATTAAATAGATGTG